TTACTGAATATGGGTGAAACAATACTGCAATGGTAAATTTTAAGCTTGAAAATGTCTAGTGATAGTTTGAGTGCTTGCTACTAGTAATTATTTAAAGTGTGTTTTCATAAGAGAAAGAATAGAAAAACCAAACCAAAGTTGGGTTTGACAGTATATTAAAAACATCTAGCAAAGATAGTATTTTATCTTAATTCAGCTGCTCATATTTAGATACTATATTATACTTACAGCTATGTTCCTGTAGAAGAGATAATAGCAACACACATTCTTATGTAGGGGTGATGAAGAAACAGTAAAGCTGAAGCTACTGAGGTGAAGACAGCAAAAAGCGGTTACAGAATTGTTAGAACAAGGCATGAGTGATCTGTTGTTACACTAGAACATGTAGAAATCGAAGGCAAAACAAAGCAACCTTTTACAATTACAGAAAAGAGAGAACTCCTTAGTCTATAATGTCAGTAAGAAAAGAAGCAATAACCCTTTTGTGTTAATAAAAATGCCATGGTCATAAAATATTAGCCCCATACTTCAAGTGTTCAACAGAAGTGACATAAGAGGTATTAGGGAGATGCCCTAAAGGACTCTGTGCCAGGGCTGTGTATAGTGAGGGCACATTTGGAAATTAGTTTTGGCCTCTGGTGGACAATAAATCTACCTCAGGTCAATAGAAATCAACCCACAGACCAAAGGAAAGTGAAACCCAGATGAGGTGAAACAAAATCAAATAAAGCCCTGGGAGTTGGAGGAAATCATCTTTAGGCGTTTCCATGCCACTCTCCTGACATAACATCCCCCGGCCATTCTTCTGCTTGTTCTCTTTACACAGTGTTCCAGCCCCTGCCTCTAAACTCTCACTTTGCTACATCCTTGATATGTGAAAGAAGTTATTGACATTTTAGACAAGCAGACATCACTTTCTTTTCCTATAATCACTATCATGTTTACTTTTACATCCGTAGAAGGACAAGGAATCCTATACAGGGAGTGCTGATTAAAGGATAGGTGGATTCTTAAAATAGCTAGACCTTTAATTAGCACCAAACCCTTCTCAGTTACTAACTTTCTCCATAAAATGGGTGAGGGACAGTAGAGTGTGGAAGTAACATGATGTTTGCAAATTCTACATTCAAACAAGGACAAAATTTGCCATCTGTATCCAAAAGAATGTCACTAAATTTAAATGCTTTTGTCTCCTGTACCTGTTTTTTCTACGTCTTTTACTACTTTATTATATTCCTAGATAGAATTCCTATTTTTATTGTGATAATTAAATAACATGTCCTCACAGGAAAACCCATTGTTAACATGCTGAAGGCCTGAATTTTCTATCGTTTTGTTCTGTTGCCCTCTTTGTACTGACCCACACATTCCTGGGCTCAATTCTTATAATATCCTCTTGCTTTCACAAGAGTATTAGGATTATACTGTTAACTTTAGGCCTTATAATTGCAAAATATACAAAAAGTGCATATGCTACACACAGAGAGCACATACCACATTTTAACAAATGATTGGAAAATAAACACCCGTGTAACCAGCCACCCTCAGGTCAGGAAAAAAAAAAAAAACAGTACATCTAACTCCCACCACCACCTCTCAAGAGATAAACACTTCTTATGCTGCAACTTTTCCTTTTAAAAATAGTTATATCACCTCTTTGTGCTTCTAAAGAACAGTTTAGCTTTGTTTTTGAACCTTTTGTAAATTGAAATACGTGTAAATATTCCAATAACTTGCTTTACCTTGCTCATTGTTGTTCATTATGATCTGTATCTGCTTAAATTGAATCATATGAAACTACAGCTCATCATGTATTCGTTGCTGGATGATACTGGTTTTGTCTGATGTTGTTTGTTTGCTTTGAATTTCGTAAATATTTATGTTACCAGCATTTTATTTATAGATCAATTGTACTCTTACACATACATTTTCCTGGTTTAACTGAAAAAAAAAAGAATATAGACAACAGGGCCAGCATTTTTCCTAGTGTATGGGTTAGGTTCAGAAAAACAAAAAATTTCATAGACTTTTTTGTTTTATTGTTTCGTTTTTGGCTGTACTAGGATTTGAACTCAGGGCCTAACACTTATGAGGCAGGTGCTCTACCGCTTGAGCCATGCCCCCACACCTTTTTGCTTTAGTTACTTTTCAAATAAAGTCTCCTGTTTGTGCCCAGACTGTCCTGGACTGCAATCCTCGTATTTATGCCTTCCAAGTTGCATGGATGACAGGTTGTACCACCATATCCAGCTTATTGGTTGAGTTGGAGTCTAACTTTTTGCCCTAGCTGTCCTCAAACCTCAATGCTCCTTATCTCCACTTCCTGAGTAGCTGAATTACAGGTGTGAGACGTTGTGTGTGGCCCTAAACCATGTCTTTCTTGATAGTTCCTCATATCCTTTTGAAATGTGTAGCTCTCTGTGAGGATAGGCACAGGAAAGTTCCCTAAACACTAACCAGCTTTGTATCTAAATTAACAGTCTTAATTCCAGTACCTTTCTTTCAAAGCCAATACTCAGTTCCTCAAATGTTCTTCACCCTCATAAATAATATAAACATTTCATTCTTATGTTCATGTGACATTTGTATGAAAATAAATGTTTGGAGCTTTTTGAAAAGCATGCTTTCCCATCAGAATCAAACTGGATTGCATTTTGATAACTTTTTAAAGTGTCTTTCCCACCATAAGCAGAAGTAACTACTGGAGCAAAAGTAATTTTATTTTCTTTCTCATTGAATTCAAGTGGTAATGGCAGCCAGCTCAGTTGCTGGCATGTGACTTCAATGTTTGATGTAAAGCATGAATGAATAACTGTATACCTACTTACTTTTGACTAGTTGGCTTTAATTTCTTTTGTCCTGTTCTTTAGAAAAGTATATTTTCACAAATAACCCCCTATTTTATAGAGAATCATGGCACATATACTTATTTCTAAAACATTACTGTTGGTAATTAGAAGTTAATTCTAAGAAGGTAATTCTTGCAGAAGAAACTATTACTCTACAGTCACATAGTGACTTAGTAAACTAAGTAAGATATTATATATATATATTTTATATATGAGTGAATATTGCTTCTTCTGACTTATTTTCAGTTGAATTTGGAGCATGTACCTTCACTTTGTTGTACTCACATCTTAAAATCTTTGTACAATAGCTTCTATTCTAGAGCACAGTTGTACTGTTCTGATCCTGGAGATCCCATGGAGTTGCAGAACTCCTCACTCATGTTGTCTTGTTAGAAATGTGAATTAGTTGTGGCAATCAATTCTCTAGACATTATGTCCTGCTAATTTTTGACTATTGTGGTCAGTTCCTTGTGACTACTCAAATTTGTATTAAACATTATGGTTGATAATATTGGATGTTTTGCTTATTTCACAAGTTTTATAGGCATCCTTCTGGCACTGTGGGGAAGAAGGTTTTCAAACTTTGTTTTTCCAGCTTCTCAGAAGCAATATATTCTAAAATGTGTTTGTTTTCTTGTTATGAGCAGAGGTTTTGTTGTTTCTATTGTTCTTGGTTTGTACAATCAGTATATATTTATTGCAGAATAATAGAAAATAGAGGAATTGAGACGTAATTCTTGATGTGTCAGAAGGTGGGAGACATAGAAGATTAAGTTCAGTTGGTAGTACAGGTTTGTAAGTAGTGAAGCTGGGATTTGAATCAGACAGCAGTAAGCTCTGCAAACTTAAGTCCATCACTACCATCATAGTTTACCACCTCTCTCTCAAGGTTTTTATTTTTCTCTGAACTGTTCTTTCATGTCAGACTTACTGCCTAAAGAATTAAATATTGAGAAAAGAAGTAAGTACTCAATTAAAGCATCAATAAAATAACCAGCAGAAATCTGTCAGAGCTTGAGTAAGAGAAAAGTTTCTTTTAGGTACAAATGTGAAAATGCTATAAAGACTGAAATCTAATAAATGGTACTGTGGAGTTACGTAAGATGTGAATCTTAGTCAATTACATTATTAGGAAATAATTTATCATTTTTATGATAATAACTTGTGTTTTCAGCATTAAGTTGCTTTAGAATATTATTAATAAGTAATTATGCATGTCCAGATTTATAGTAGATATTTCTCTTGAACTCTATAACCTATTCATTTTCTTATTGTCATTGGTTAACTTTTAAAATTAATACATGCTAGTAAAATATAAATTTGAGAAATATCTACAGGTAAGGCTTATCCTTAAAGACACAGAGATGACATTTCCTAGTTTCACCTGGTATTATTTGTTTAGCATTGAAAGCAATGTCTCCTCAGTATCATTTTAAGCTTATCTAGAGCAATGACAAAGTATATGACCATTTCTGTGCCTTGAGATCCTGCTTAAAGCCTCTTTTATCTCCCCAATCTTAAATTTTACATACCTTAATATGAGAGTAATCAAATGGCTTTATTCCTAATAACTATAAGGTATAATTTATTGCTTCCTAATGTCCTTTTAAGTTTACTTAATTATGACCATTTTTGCTGCCTCTATGTGAAAACTCAGTTTTCCCCATTTTTCTCACTGTAAAGCTCCTCTCTTTTGACTTTTGGGAAATAGGGGACTCCCTCTTACATGTCCCTTTCCAGTGTGGAATTGGGACCCATACAACAGCTTTCCCCAAAGACATCTTCAAAGTTCTCTATCTGCCTTTCTGCTTGTCCTCTATTGAGTAAGGGTTTAAGTGTTATGTTCCATCAGCTTCATTATTCATTATATATATAGTGTGCCACCTAAACATTATATTATCTTTTGATATTTCAGCTAAAGCTTCCATTTTAGCACTCTGTCTTTCATTTAACTGCTATGTAAAATCTTAGTGCCTATATTGTTATAATTTGTCTATATCACAGTTTTGCTTGAGACTAACCCAAAATTTTGTTGACATTTATGTATTCCGCACAGCATTTATATTAGTAGTAAAGTCTTGGAAAATGACTATTAAATCCACTTCAGCTTGACTTGATAGAGAGTCGAAACTTACTCATTTTTATCTTTAGTTTCAGGTGCAACATTATATCGCTCAGAGTCTGGTAACCCTAGGAAGTTGCAGCTTGTTGAGAAAATCTATTGTATCTCTACTTCTGTCAGAAGTAAACAGCTTTGCTGATGATCTGGGAGCCATTGATCAGGTACATATAACTTGGAACTGTAACTCTCATTTATAGATAGTAATACTACAAGCTTTTTTTCTTCTTTCTTCTCTGCTCTCTTCTTGCCAGGGTGATATTTTAATTATTACCTTATTTCTAATCTATGTCAATACTGTTTTTGGCAATACTGGGGTCCAAACTCAGGGACTTGCTCTTTCTAGGAAAGTACCACTTCAGCCATATGCCAGCCTTTATGTTAATTGACTTTTCAGATAGGGCCTCATGCTTTTTATCTAAGACTGACTTCAGATTGCAACCCTTCTACTTCTGCTTCCTGCCTAGCTGAGATTATACGCATGACCCACCATGCCCAGCTTGTTTTTTGAGATAGGATCTTGCTAACCATTGCCTGTCCTGACCTTGAACTGAGATCCTCCCCTCTCACCTGTCATATAGCATGGATTACAGGTGTGAATTGCCATGTGTGTGAATATTACTAATACCAACTCAAATTTCAGAAAGTTACTGTCAGAAAATAGTCTTAAAAATAAAATCATCTTGTCCTCCTTATGTGTGTACGTGTGCAAAGGTTCCATTAGTGACAGCAAAAGAATGTTTAGATGAACGGTCTTAAATCTTTCCAGGCAGATAGCATGTTCCTAAAGCAGAGAAGAAAATAGTGAAGTAGAGAAAGCCATAAATGGAGATTTGGCTCTAAGCAATGGTTCTTATTCCCAGTTGCCTAAGAGAATGATCTGACTAATTTTTAAATATGCTGTTGCCATGCCGTATGCAATTCAATTAAATGGAGTTCTCTGGAATGAGATACCAGGCTAAAGCACTCCAGATGACTGCAAATCACAGCCTAAGTTCAATACCAGTACTCCAAGCCCTTGTATCTGTAAAATTTTACATGGCGTTTCTGACAAATGTGTACAAGGAACATAAGTCATTCCCATATTTCAATGTTGATGCTGGTAAATTCCATGTGTTCATTTTGTCTGCTCTTTTAATATTCTTATCTCTATCATTGAATTCAGAGGCAAAATTAAATCAGAGATAGGAAAACATGTTTTGCTAAAGGGAAATTTAATAATAAAAACGTGTGTATAAGCTAAGTACTGGCAGCTCACGCTTGTGAGCTTGGGAGCCTGAGATTGGGAGAAGCAATGTTCAGGGCCAGCCAGGGCAAATAGTTCCCAAGACCCTATCTCCAAAATAACCAGGAGAGGTGGCTCAAGTGGTAGAGCATCTGCTTAGCAAGCACAAAGCCAAGTTTAAACCCCAGTTCCACTAAAAAAAAATTTATATGATTTTAAATAGCTTTTAACTAAGTCCTTACATGAAGTTCTCTGCATTTAATGATACACTGTTAAGCTTTTATATAATCTAATTGAATTCATTGTATGACATGGCCTATCATCTAGTCCATAATTATTCAAGTGAATACTAACTGCTAACCTCTCTCAAAGAGCTCTGATAGATATTTTTGTGAAGGTCACTGTCACAAAATTCAAGGAGAAACAAGCCACACCAACTAACTTTAAAGTGCAAAGTGATGACATAAATTAGTAGTGCTGTTTGTAAGGGTTTTAAGTTCCAAGATTACAGTAGGTTATGAGTCCCCAAAATACTTCATGGAAAGAAAGGAACTAGTAGAATGGATTTGGATCAAATAAGCAAATTGAATATCTAACTGAGTTGGATAACAGAGTGCAAAGGCCCTGGGCTGTGATGTACAAAGAGGTATGCTAAGGATTCTGAGGAAACAAGATGAGGTCTTGGCACTAAACAAGCAGAAACAATATAGGAAATAAGTTTAATTGATTTGGATTATTTGTTTGGAGAATAACAAAAAGAAAGGAAATTTTTCTTTATATATTCTCATTTGATTTCCACAGTAGCATCATGAAGTATTTATAGTGTTTGCCCAGTTTATAGATAAGGATATAGAATATAGCTTTTACCCAGTTTATGATTAGAGAAAGAACATATACTAAGGCCATGTTGAAACCCAGGTGTTCTGACTGTTAAATCACTATAAAGTAATAATAGAAAAAAGAAGGCAAATAATAACCAGTTTCTGGCAGATGTGTGTTAAATGAATTGTCCCAATCAATCCTTTGAACAATCCTTCAAGCTATTAGTAATGGCTAAAGAAAAGGAAACTATTAGTCAGCATTCTTATTAGCAGATAGCAGAATGCATTGTGTCTAGCAGAATACAGTGCAGACAGTTTAAGCACAGGATTCATGAATAGCTATGGAATTTTGGGAAGAATTAAGAAAAGAGACTGTAGATTGTACTTTCAGGAATGACTCCCACAACCACACACCAGAAAGAGTTGAGGATGCGGCTCAAGTAGTAGAACACTCAAATATAAGGTGCTGAGTTCAAAGCCAAGTATTGCCAAAAAAAAAAAAAAAAAAAAGAGAATCATCCATGAATGTTCAATTTTAAGAGTATCAATCTAAAAACAAGCCACTGAAGGGAAAAATCAATAAATCATCCATCCTAAATATAAATAATGGAAAACCACTCAATCATAAAATGTATTAAACCAATGATACAACATCACAGATAAATCTAAAAAAGAAAATCAGATGCCAAGTAAAATAAGCCAGACATAAGAGAAGATATATAATTTCATAGAAATTGTGAAAGGGTCAAAAACTAATGGGTGATGAAAAGCATCCAGTTGTTGACTCAGGTGATTGGGGAGGGGAAGGAGGGATTGGAGTAGGGTTACACAGTATATGCAATTGTCAGAATTCATCTAAATGGGTATTATCAAGCTGTGTAACAGAGAGGAAGGAACACTAAATCTGGGGTTGGAAACTTCCCTTAGATTCCTAGGCAAAATGGTGGATTGTTGACATCCCTGAATTCCCGAGCCCAACAGTCCTGAAGAAGGACAAAACTGGAGAACCCAGAGGACACCCACAAGGTCCCATAACCAGCAAGAAGCAGAACTCTCTTCAAACCCACAAAAATAGAAGTAACTAGCAATGTGGAAAAAATGGCTCACAGGTCAGCACTCCTGTTCCCCAACCCCTGAATGCTCTCTGCTCCCTTGCTCCCCCACTCCATCGCTCTCCGCTGGTATGTCCTACTTCACCACAGTACAGAGGCTCCACAGCTCGATGACCCCTCTTCTCTGCTTTCCACACCCCACACTCTTAAAATCACACAGGGAAGCCCTCTCCCCTGCACATGCAGGCTCTAGGTCCACTGCTCCACCAGTGGCAGAGAGCATACACCCTGCGTGCTTTGTTACTCCATGTCCTGCTGCTGCCCACCCTGCAGTGCTGCTCAGGACCTGGAAGCCTGCTTCCCCAAGCACAGAGTGTCTGTGGTCTTCACTGCACCTGCTTGAGAGGCCTCCTCACTCGCCATAGAGCCCCACTCTTAGTCCACAGAACTGGAGTGTCAGCTTCTCCAATGAGGGAGGGAAAGCTGCAATCTTCACTGTAAGAACCATCGCAGTGCAAGGTTTCTGGCATGCTTCTCCCTGAGGAAATTTGCTGAAGCCCCACAAGTAAAAGCTGAGGTACAGCACGTGGCGACCTTTGAACCCAGACCTTCCTGGGCAGTACAAAAACAGGGCCTTTGACAGTGAAGGCCTCCTCAGAACTGCAGGTATTGGAGACTTCCATTGTTTAAGACATCTGGCAAAAACGTGTCTCTGAGCACAGTAGACTTACAGTCTTGTAAGTACTGGGGATCCTGAAGAGGGTAATGCTGCAACAGGTGATGGCATGAGATTGGCAAATTGACAATACAAACTCTAGAGACCCTGCTCAGATCCCCAAACACCCCCTCATCCCCACTTTCAGACACTGCTCCAGAGCCAGGTATCCAATTAGACTGCCATGTAGTGGACTGAAAGACTTAGTCATAGAGGTAGTAAAAAGATAAGCTGCTCTCAAGAGTGCTAGAAAATTTGTAATTTATTTAATGTAAAATTTGTGTTTGTCGCTAATAAGACTGTTGTGTCAATTTTGTATTCACCTACCTGTATCTTCTTGTGCTGTATACTCCAACAACAGCCTGACATTCTTGCCTCCCAGTTTTAAGCCTTATCCTCTGCCCTTCCCAGTCTGGGCCATGATCCTAGGAGAACCCTATAACCTGCATTTCAGTCTTTAACCTTAAATCATTTCCTTTTCTCCCCTTTTCTGTCACCTTCTCCAACTCATACTTTCCCCCTAATAACAAACAGAATTTCTCCGTAGCTCTTAATTTCCCCGTTTACTGTTCACCCACCCACAGTCCTCTACTACCAATACTATTAGTGGTTAAATCAATTCCCAGATATCCTGGCAATTTTGTTGTGTCCATATCTTTTTATATAACTGTTTAACTTTCCCTACTGTTCTCCCCACCCAACTCTGCCTCACCCATTTCAGTATCTACTGAATCTCCTCACCACATCCCAGTCTGGTTCTTAATCATCTCCTTCTAATATTTAAACTGGCACCCCTTCCTGCTACATAAACTGTTCACCTCATATTACCCACTACAGCTTTTCCTCAGTCTCACTCCCATCACAACCCTTACTACCTTTTGCCTTCTAGGACCACGAAGATGTATCCTTGCTCCAATAGACAACCAAGATACTGGACTAGTAGCAATAACCCATCTTCATGAGGGATTACTGTAATTTCAAGGAGGCAGTTTAAGAACTGTAGGCTTTAATAGCTAAGCCTCAAGTCACCACATCAGACCTCAACTACCACCCAATCCTGTACAACCCTTCATAAACCCCAACGAGAGGGGCAAAAGGGATTTGAACCCCAAACCAAAAACAACCCCAGATGTGTAAATCTCAACACAGAAACAAGAAGCAACAAAGCAACAGCTCTCCCTTAAAAGCCAACTCCAACACTAAGGATCTAAACAATAGTGAAGAGGAGGAAATATCAAATAATTACAAAAAATAATAGTAAGAATGATTAATGAGCTTAAAGAAGAGACACAAAAGCTAGTGTCTGAACTCAGAGGATATGAATAAACAACTAAAAGAGCTCAAAGAGAAT